ATAAGAAACAACATAATAAAAGATGCTTTCAACACAGCTGCTGCTTCTGGTTTGGTCTCTCATGTTTTCATCTGCAGACAGCATGAAAAACAAACTCTACAGTCTGAATCTGAACAAACCACAAGAAACAAGCTCTGTGTTGTATGTTCTCTAAATGTCAACCACTTCAGACTTACAGCTAACAGGTCACGCCTCACATTGTGTTATAAACACATCTAAAAACGCTTGATGCACAATCAGTGGCCTGATCACGACCATCTGAGCCTAAAAATCCTGGTTGAGATTCTGGACAACAGAGACGTTACCTGCCAGGTCTTCTCCCTGTGTGTGTCAGGTGATGATTTGTCACAGGACAAAGGTCACTGCTCGGCCTCTATCTCAGCCTGACTCTGCTACTCCTGTGAGAAAATGGATCCTTCTTACTTCATTTTCTCTCGTAGCTTCATGCCGAGCAGCTGATTCCTCTCTACTTTTCCACAGCGTGAGTGAAGTCATCCCATAACACAAACTTTCTTTCTTTCTTTCTACTCTTTGCTCCTCCTCCTCCTCCTCTGAGCAAAACAGCTGATATTCTTCCTTAACTTGTGCAACTTAGTGTAGCTCCACCCCCTCCTGGCACTCACTACAGGGAAACAAACCCCTCTCTACTGCAGCTATGCTTCTTCACCGCCTTTATGGTCTGTGGGAGGCTAAAGGTGTGCTAGATAACTAACCTGGCACTGCACAAGGGGGTGGAGTTCAGCAGTTTATCAGCTGGCATTCAAAAGCTCCACTCACCTGGGTGAGTGCAGAGGTTCTGAAAATGGAACATCCTCTCGAACCACTTGACCATGAGCGTGTGTGAGAGTGTGGGTGTTTTAAGGAAATATAGCAGGTGATAACAGACTGATAAGGGAAACAATGGAGACCTATCATGGATACGCAACAGTAGTTAAACCTGAAAAACTCTGGAGGTGTTACAAGTTTGACATACAGTCATATTTTCACCAGGTAGAGCAAGAAAAAGAAGCTGCCTGTTTGCTGTAAAGAAACTGAAGCTGTGAGTTGGAGCTTTTTTAAATTTAAAAACTAAAAAACTTGTGAATTGGATCTTTTCATGTCTGTCTCAGTGTTGTCCTGTCTGTGTGTCACCACATTAATAATAATTATGTGACTCCTCGCTGAATCACAGAGGCAGAGAGCTGCTGCTGCACGTTTTTCTCTGGCCACACCCCAATCAGTGATGTCACAGCAGGTGTTTTGCATTAGCTGGAAAACGCAATAATATGGGTGTGTTCACAAACTGCTCTTTTTTTTACATTAAATCTAATGGACGTGGCGGCAGGGAGCTCAGACTGCAGCTATTTAAAAGACACTGCACCCACGTGTTTCCTTTTCTTTTTAACCGTGCAGAGTGCTCTGAAGTTTAAATAGTTTAAACTTATCACAAATTATCTATTTGTTGAGTTTATTGTTTTAACTGCAAAGCTCAGAGGTAAATTAAAGTATTCATTTAAGTGTTTAGGTTTACACAAAGTTTTCAGAGAACACAGTAGTGTATATGTGTACACTGTATCTGGCAGACTTCCAGATGGCTAATGCTAACACACATGGGCTGTGGAAACATTCTTCAGCTATTAATAAATCTGTCTGAATTAGCTTCACATCACTTCCACTCCCTCTCCAGCTGCACTCTAAAGAGACAGAGCTGCATACACTTAAAGAAAATGATATGTAGGGTCGTCCTGGATTACAGACAAATCCATCTACTAAAATTTGATGTTTGAGTTGCCATTTGTGGATTTGTGAAAGCATACGGTGCAATTTCCTCCGCATCGTCCCGACAAGGAATATTTCTATTAAGTAATTATCAATTAAAAGTTAATTGGTTTGATTAATCAACAATACTATGATTCTATGAAGATCATATTAACTGTAATTCAGCCTGAAAGTATTTTTGCAATCCTGAGACATTAGTTACACCTGAGCAGGCACAGTTTAATATCAACACCTGCCAAGCGCCATTTGTGGGTAGATTTCACATTTGGCGAGTAAAGTCTCTCCCCACACTGGTGGGTAAATAATCATGTAATAAAAAACTATACTGAGAGTCTCTACCACATTTTTTGACTGGCTGGTGAGTACTTAACCCACCAAGCATATTCTTAACGGCCAAAATAATAAATCGCCTTTTTGTGTCACTTATGAATTTCTTTCAGTATATTTCAGTGAGATAATAAGGTATTATGTTGAATACAAACTTAAGGAAGCCGTCAGAGCAAAATTTGAAGCAAAATGATTTATAGTATGTTTAAGTTCAGTTTAAGTTCCCTCTGGTAAACACTGATGCAGTGTATGTCTTGGGCTTTAATTGTGAAAGGAAAGAACGTAAGGAGTGAAACTGTAATGCACTGCCGCTGACAATGTGGGAGAAAACAAAGAGCGGCTGTCAGGGCGTAAAATTAACACCTGCCAAGCGCCAATGGCGGGTAAAAAATGAGATTGGCGTGTTAAAAAAAAAATAAAAAAAACACACACTCGTCAGTGGCCGATGGAAAATTCTGAATTGCATGTGGGTTTTTTATGTGCTTCGACCAGGGACGGTTTTTGCTATGGGCAATGTGGGCGACCACCCAGGGCGCAATCTAAAAAAAAAAATTAAAAAACAACAAAACTCACCAGTTTTCTAGACTACCACTCATTTCCACGTCAAGTTAGTGGAGTGGGCACTGGGGCGCCCCTATTATCACGTTTCAACCAGCAGCAGAAGGAAAGGCGAATCCTGGCGGTTGTGGGTTGAACGGGGGTCACAGACAGGAATGAGGGATGGTTCGCCCAGGGCGTAAAACTAGCCAGGACCGCCTCTGGCTTCGGCCATTTCTGACAGCTGTGTCAGACTATTTTGACCCTCGCGGCTTATTGTATGTGTGCCAGGAACGCATGACGTCAGCTACCGGAACCCTGGGCATTCTATGGTAACTACTGACACATTTCTGCCGTGAAGCCACCGCCAGAAAAGAGGAAAAACGAAGACGAACATGTTGGACTTGGACAAGAAGAACAGACAGTTAAACGGAGTACAAATGTCGCACGGCATTTTATTGAAAAAATGGAAACTAGACGAGACTGGCCAGCTGCGGTCATGGCTGACCTACGACCCACACACCAACATGATGAGCTGCAGCCTCTGCCGCAAGCACACCAAAGAAACACAGAGGACAGGGTTGGATTTTCCTTAAGTTGGAAGGTAAGGTAAGGTAATTATTTTTAGTCAAACAAGGCACAATTTTTTTTATTTGGCTGGTGAAAAATATATTTGGCCGGTAAATTTTTGGAGGTCACTAACCAATGGCAGATGAGGTAAAAAGTTAATTTTACGCCCTGGCAGCTGTGGCTCAGGAGGTAGAGCGGGTCGTCCACTAATCAGAAGATTGGTGATACGATCCTACAGTCCACATGTTGAAGTATCCATGAGCAAGATACTGATATCTAACTTGCTCCTCATGGCCGTTCCATCAGTGTGTGTAATATGTGTAGTCGCCTCACCAGTGTGTGAAGGTGTGTGTGAATGGGTGAATGTAACTCGTAGTGTAAAAGCACTTTGAGTGGTCAGAGGACTAGAAAAGCGCTATAGAAGTGCAGTCCATTTACCAAAGAGTTTGCTGTTTTGGTTCAGATGACAGAGTCTCCCTGCTGTTATTTTTAGCAGACTGGCAGCAAGTAACAGTTTAGCGGGTCAGCTGATACCCGTACGGTAAGTAGTGCTGCAAAAGTAAGAGCGCTCAGGAAGGTCAGTTTAGCAGCACCGCTTAGTCGTGCATAAAATACATCTGTAGCGTGTGTCAAACTCTTAACACTTAAAGCAGTGGAGCAGTGCGCCTCTAAATGACACCAAAATGCAGTCGAGACTCGAGACGCAGGTTTTTTATTACATGACTACTGTAGTGCAAACATTTAGATGTCAGTGTGTTGGACAGGCTTCAGAGATTTGATCACCAAATGAAAAATCAACCCACATTTGGTGCCTACTTAGCCTGTGTTAATTTCAGACTCTGATTTGGACAGAGACTGTTTTTAAAAGAGTGCTTGTGTGGGCAGGATTTTTGTTTGTTTGTTTGTTTGTTTTGTTTTTAATAATACCCATTTTTGTGTGGACAAAGCTGAAGTGTCCAACTCTTCATTTGCCAACACAGACAGCAGGAGCAGAGCAGACCCAGAACTCTTTATTTCAGTGTGTAATCACGCAGGTCAGGATGCTCGTCTGTGTTTTCCAGACTAAAAGCTGGAGCAGGGCAGCAGATGGCACTGCCCACCATGGCACTGTGCCCCGGCATCACACACACACACACACACACACACACACACACACACACACACACACACAGATTCCACAGTAAGCAATTACATCACACACAGACACACAGACACACACACACACACACACACACACACACACACACACAGGTGGGATTCCCAGTACAGTAGGAAGCTCCATGCTGGGTCAGCTGCTGGTCTGCTACAGCCCATTTAACTCCACACACACTTTGGAGGTATTGTAATTTTTTTCCTTTACTCTCCAACACTCATGTGTACATCAGATGTCCACTTAACCAGCACAACAACAGTTTCCAATGTTGGATAACAAATATAAACATAAACAAACACACACCATTGTCCTTGCAGCTTGTTAACAAAATGGCTGTCCTCATCAACAACTAGACTGACACTAATCGTATCACTATACAAGCAGAAACTTGGTGTGTGTGTGTGTGTGTGTGTGTGTGTCTGTGCATGTAAAAGCAGCCAGACAGGCAGTAACAGCATGATTTACAGTAATCAGAGATCTATTGAAACCATCAGTGAGCGGTTCACTCTGTCCAATCATTATGTTGCATTAACGAGCAAATCTTTCATTCAATATGTCTGACAACGGAGACCGTTTTTTGAAATCTGTGCCAACCACACAATGTGAATGATCAATAAGAAAGATTCACGGATCGATGTTAAATGAGGATGCTTACTCGCTTCGTCGGCGTGCCTCCATCCCATCAGGTAGGAAGAGTTTGATTGTTGACACAATGCAGCCATGGGTGACTGAAAACACAAGTAGACAACCAACATGTTAATGCACTGTGCTTCAGTACAGGTTACCAGTTCTTAGTCAACATCGTCACGCCGTAATCACATCAAATGTAAACACAGAGCTGTGGAAAGAAGACCTAAACAACATTATCACTACAACACCAGATGTGGGGAAAAAAGTTAACCGACTGCAACCTCCATCACACCGTACTTTGTACCTTAATGACTTTCTGGATCTCAGAGTTGCTGTACTGTTACCACTACAAGACATGTTTGTGCCAGATTGTTGTCATGTTGATGTGGGGTGCATATCATACACAGGTGAACTAACAAAAGGTGTACTGATTACAAGATCATTCCAATGATTGCAACATTCAACAAAGGAGTCACTCTGTGTGTGTGTGTGTGTGTGTGTGTGTGTGTGTGTGTGTGTGATGCCCCCTGCTTCCTCACTTCCTGTTCATGTTGCATTTATTTGGATATTGCTTTTGTCAAGAGAAATTTACATTTTCCCCCATATATACCCACACTGGAATTCAGTGTCTTGTTCAAGGACACTTCAACATGTGAACAGGAGAAGTCAGTGATGTAACACCTACACTCCTACAATTGACAGCCAACCCGCTCTTCCACCTGAGCTACATCCGCCCACCATCTTCCATCTCCAGGATAGTTTTCAGCTGCCGCAACTACAACAGCTTCTTGTTTTAGGCTGCAATAAAATCATGAATGTTTGAAAACTGTTGTTGTGTCTCAGACCGTTTAAAAAAGGCCAGAGATACATGCACACTCTATGGTTGTGCAGTTCATTGGATTTAACGCAAAGTTTTTGTTAAAGTTTAAAAAAAAAAAATTTATGGCGAAAACGTAGTTTCTTCCAACACAAGAATTAAGAATTAGAATTAGAAATATTCACAAACGAAAAAACACTAATGGTCGGTGATAAGTAGTGTTTAACTTTTGATTGAACACTAAATTAAAACCCTCGGCGCACACTGCAGCACAATCAAACAAATGCGCAACTCAGAGCATCAGAAGTGTCTCTGACACCAGACTCAGAGCGGACCGGTGGAACTGGAAAATGCATATTTTACATCAATAAAATCTATTTTATCATTATTTTGAGTCACATTGTTGAAAGAATTTAGTCGTCTGTGTTCAAGCAGGATAATAGCAGGTCTCCATTGTGCGTCGGGCTTTCTATTTCCTTGTCGGAGATTTTTTCTTTTTTAATTACATGATATATAGGCTATTCTCCCTTAACTCACCAGTAAAAAATACCTTTATCCATTTCAAATAACCAGTGACAATAATATCCCCGTTCTCTGATTTACTGTGAAACATTTTTAGGCAATTCATGCAAAAATCAGACCGGATGACTCCTTTACACGACCTAATGGGGCCAGCCTTTATTTGTCAATCAACCAAAAACAATCAATCACTTAAAAACACAAAGTGGACCTGGAACATGAACTCTTACAGGCCTAACACATCTGATGACCTCTTGGACTTGTCTGCCAGCTCTGAGTGCGCTCATTGTCAGTATCGGACTGGTGGGGGTTAGTGTTGCGTTTAAGGCCTCCCCCCAAAAAAACAGGAAAAAAAAGCACCGAAGCGTCAAAAAAAAATTTTCACAATAGAATCCCGTGCCATCGAACGAAGCTTTGAAGCTTTGAATTTTTTGGGTCAGCCCTACTCACAACAATGTGTTAACTTTGAAATTAAAGCATGCCTGATACCCACTGTGATGAATAACATAACATTTCAAGAGCCTGACAATTCATTTTCATACTGAAAAAGAATTGAAACCAATGGCTTTCCAGAACCCTGGGGAAAATGTACCTTAAAGTAGATTTTGAAAATAAGAACGAATTCATAGATGAGCATCACAAAATGAGCTACAACTCACATTTATTTAGTGCTCATTTCATCTTATGTAATTTGAATGCAATACTACTCGTTTCATATGAATGCAGGTTGAATGTGCATCTCCATAATGAAAGGAGTATTAGTGGAGCTGAAAATCTGACCTCAATATCTACGCTGCTCTTTGTATGCAAACAGTATGTAGTCTATGACCTTAGCAAAATAAGCCCTAAGGTACCCTTCAGGGTCAGTCAAGTGTAATTATTTCAGGGTTGTACATGTGTGCATTATAAAACACACGGCTGGTAGAGGGAGGGAAAAATCTTTCTCTATTGTAGCTCACTGCCATCATCTTTCCTTGATTCTCTCCATTCTGAATATCTCTTAGCATAGCACACAATTTATCCCATGTTTGTGTCCACTAAAATGATTATAATTGAAACATATCACTGTGTATAAATATATTCCATGTATGCATGTACCTTTGCGTGTGTTCTCAGTGACGTCGACGCCAAACTGAATGATGTCGCCGGAGAGCACCTCACAGGGCGGACTCTCCTCCGAGCCACGACTCAACCTCTGGCTGTTGATGAACGTCCCGTTGCTGCTTTTAGTGTCCTGCAGGTAGAACTGACACACACAGACACAGCAGTTGAGAACCATGGGAAGAAACAACAATGCAACAGAAAAAAAGCAGACATGAACAGACTGTAACGATTGTTGAAATGAAGCAGAGTTAAGTTTAAAATCATCAAAGACACTGACAGGAAGGAGAGAAAACATTATGATACAAAATGAAATTTCACAACCATGAATAGCAGTTTTCAAACTCTATACATCATAGTCGTGCTCACGCCATATGACAGCAGGAAGAGCTGCCATGCCCAGAATGTCACCATCAGCCAGCAGGGGGATTCAATATTAAAGCTGTCCTTTCATGATATATTAATAAACCAGACACTGCATAGTTTTAGAGGAATGTAATGCAGTCAGATAAAAGGACATTTTGACCCGATACTGGTGCTAGATGGAAAGTCAGAGGATCACCAAAATCGACTCCATCCTCTCTGAATCAGACCTTATGACAGTCTGTACAAAATTTCATGGCTGTCCATCTAGTAGTTGTTGAGCCATTACAGTCTGGATGAAAGTGGTGCACCGACCATGGCAACCAGCCCCCTGGAAGCCGCATCACTGACATAGCTTTTAAGAGCACCTGCACATATAGCAGTTATATTAATGTTCCTTAGGTCTGACGCCAAAGGTCCTTTGATACACAGCACTAGGGATGCCATGGTGAGAACATTTTTTCCACTGGTTATTAAACTTGTGACACTACACTTGTGTTACTGGTTACACCGTACATTTTACAAAAAAAGATATTCATTGATGACACTCAGTATCTGTAAAGGGCGGTTTTAAAGGAACAGTGTGTTAGATTTAGGGAGATTTAGTCATGTCCAGCAGTGGGGGATTGGAGATTGCAACCAGCTGCAACTTCCCCCAATTTGAATTCCTCCAGTGTTCATTTTAAAGGAGGTTTTTACCAGGAGCCAAATTATTGGCAGACCAGGTGATTTAAAGCGGTAAAAACAACGAATAAAGCAGTTTTACGTTAAAAAAAAAAAAGTTGTGTTTTTCTATCTCTGCTTGTCGCGGAGGGACTTGTAACTACAATGGCCGACGCGAAAATGCGAATGGCCCTATCTAGACCCAATGTTTGGTTTGTCTGTTCGGGGCTACTGTAGAAAGATGGCTGTGCCACATGATAATCTCTGTAGACGAAGTCCTGCTCCCTATGTCGATAAAAATGGCTCATTCTAAAGTATCAAAAACACAATGATACTTATTTTCAGGTCATTACACACTCATGGAAACACTTATTATATTAGCATTATTATATTATATATATTATTACCTCTGCCAAGGAGGTTATGTTTTCGCCGGCGTTGGTCTGTTTGTCTGCAAAATAACTCAAAAAGTTCGGAACGGATTTTGATGAAATTTTCAGGAAAGGTTGATAATGGGACAAGGAACAGATGATACAATTTTAGTGGTGAATGGTTGAAGTGAAGTGGATAAAATAATAAAATGGCGGGAAATCCGAGCTGCTTGGCGGAGGTCTGCGCTCTCCGAGTGCTCTAGTATATGTATATATATTATCAGCCAATAGATCATATTACCATGAGTTGACTTTTTTGTGAAGTAGTCACAGGAAATGCAATATGTAATCATTAAGCTTAGCAAAACCACTATCGTTCATCCAAAATGTGTCTACAAAATAAGACAAATATTTTTTTGGCATTTGTTGTTAGTTGATCAGTTTGACGTATTGCAAGCAGCGATAGAATAAGAGGGAGAGGCCATAGTGAGATGAAGAGCTGCAGGCAACAGGCTGTCCCTTAAACTTCTTAGCAATGTAGAAAACTAGTTTTTATTCATTAACATCATTAGGTTTCCGATTAGCATTGGGTTCTTGCTTTTCGCTTTGACACCAAATCCTCCACTGTTGTCTTGTCAGTCAACTCTTGCCACATGATAAACAAAATCTGCTACTCTGTGCCCAACTTTTGCTGCTGCTGTACAGAACAGATACTTTAAGTTTATAACTGAAGTGTCCGTCTTTCGACTTAATATTGATCAAAAAAAGCAAAACTACCGTGGGGGCCTGTTGGCATGTAATGTAATTGCTGTACACCTGAACACCATGTAACACTGGTAACACAGACTACCCAGCACATACGCCAAAATATTATTTTCTCTCTCTGGTTTGTCTCGATATTATGCCACACACAAAGCATGTTCATGAATGTGTCTATCCCTGAACTCTGGGCTCGTTCCACAGACTTAACACCAAGGAGTTTAAAAAATGCTTTTCTAAGCTCTGAGGAAGTTTTTGAAATATAAAATCTTTTTAAAAAAGTAACTTAATTAAAAAAGCAATTATTGACCTTGAACGTCTGCCTTTCAAAATACCCTATCGACATCATCCTTCAAAGCACATCTTTAATAACTGCAGTCTATGAAGAAAATGCTCTCTGGACTGCACTGGTTCTTTTGTTGCAGTGCTGCACTTGATTCACAATGAACTCATCACTACTCTCCTCCTGTCAGTATTTAGGGCTGTGTGACTACTTGTTCAAATCCTGAGGCTACACTGTAGCTCAACAGCCCAAAAATATACAATGATACTGACAATACAGCAACAGTTCATGTCATTTAAAAGCACTGAGACACTGTTCCATAGCACAAATCCATGAGGACAACAACAACAACAACCATGACAGTGAAATGTAAACAAACAGGAAGAATCACATCAACTCTGTTTCATTCACACATCATTCAGAAAACAAACGTGCTGACATCAAAAATATATTCACAAACACAGCAATGAAGTGTATACACACAAACAGATGTCGGACAGGAAACTGAACACACACAAATCAGGCAAAAAACTGCACATGTACACACAAACACAAGGATTAAGAGCTAACATCGAAACATAAACGTAACACACGAACCTTAAACAAGAACACACACAGACACAGCCAGGTATAAATGACACTACACACAAACACACACGCACACACACAGTTAGCGATCTGATCTGGATGCCTGAGGCCTGTCTGTCTGTCTGTCTGTCGTTCCAGGAGTTTCATTCATCAGCTCTCAGCTCTCCGTCATGACTGAAAACCACTGTCGATCTACCAGAGAGAGAGCGACTGAACACTGAAGAGAGGAAGGAGGGACCGAGGGAGGAAGAGGAAGAGAGAGAGAGCTATGCCGAGACAGACTGGTCGACTTCGCTGTTTATCCAACTGCGGTGTGTTACGAAAAGCTACCAATTCACCCATCATGATAGCTATATACACACAAGCGCACGCGCGCACACACACACGCACAGACAGTTACCTCCTGTCCCCATGGTAACCTGGAGACAGGGAAGGAGGGACCTAACTATAGAGCTTTTCACCCAGCAACAACACACACACACACAGTATGCGTCACATACCTCACATATGGCTCTCACACACTTATACCTAGTATGACTCTCATACACACACAGAAAACATTACGTCATTGACCTGTGTGCAGCAGACTGCTGGTTTAGTCTCAGCTCAACGTCTTCTGTCTTTATTTATTAAAGGGCGACCTATTAGGCTCATTTTTAGGTTTATACTTGGGGTTTGGGTTTCTATGAGAACATGTTTACAAACTTGTTCAAAAAACATGTTATTTTCCTCATACTGTCTGCCTGAACATGCCTGTATTCACCCTCAATCTGAAATGCTCCCTTTAATCACCTGTGTCTTTAAGCCCCCCCTCCCATAAAAGCCCCGTCGGCACTGACTGGTCAGAGGTTCCAGGTTTTCGGTACCTCACGTCTGTACCATCATAAGCTCTTTTAACACAGAACTCGCACTATAGGGCCGCTACAAAGTAGGGATGTCCCGATCTATCAGCTGCCGATATTAGCAAAAAATGTGCATCGGCATCGGATCTGACTGCATGGAAAAATGCCGATCCAAGAACTCCGATCCAGTTTTTCACGGACTCCAATCCAGGTTTTCCAGCCAGCCCAGTGCTCCGCGAATCAAGCAGTCCATTCCAGTGATCCGCTCCAGCACTTACTATCAATCCACCAGGCCAGCATGCAGACGGCAGACACACACGGAGGGTAGGAAGAGTAGCGGTCAATTTAGTTAACTGACTATTTGTTTTCTGCTCTGGTTTTTTGAGAGTGATAATTTTTATTTGGTTTACACTCTTACTGTTTAAGTAAAGAGCACTGATGGCATTGTTTTGGGCACAATTAGTGAAATTGGAGCCACGAATGGTCTGTTGCTTGTTTAAACAGTTGTACAATATTGTGTGTAGTTTTTTGTCCCCTCTGTTGGTCCCAGGAAACAGCAGCAGCGGGCTGGCACTGACACTACTAAAATAACTGAAAAGGAAAGGCTGCATTGTTTGTTAAATGTCAACAATGTCTTGTGGTGTTAATCTATTTTTTATTTATTAGGGGGCCAAAGCACAAGTGTGTGGAGTCTTGCTGCTATTTTAATTTCAGTGTTAGACATTTTAAAGATTTCTTGTGTTGATTTATTTTTTATTTATTAAGGGGCCAAAGCAGCCAAAGCAAACCAGCTTTATTTTTTTATTTAATGTTAATGTTCAAGTTTAAAGTTTGTTTATTTAACCCTGTTAACAATAAACGGGTCAGTTTCTCATACCAACTGTTGTGGATCATTCTAACTAACCTGATTAAGTAGTTGTTCTTGTTAGTGTAATATCGCTTGATCAAACCTTTTCTAACATGACTGACAACAAAATAAGTGAATATGTATAATACGCTTTTGGATCGTATCGTATCGGCCAAACCTCAAGGCTGTAATATCGGTATCGGAACGGAAGTGAAAAAGCTGGATCGGGACATCCCTACTACAAAGTCCCTTCCTTATGGCACCTTTGCATTTTTACACAGAACCAACTGACAGCAGTATCATTCTGCTCGAGCGTGTGATCATAGACCGCATCCAAACACTGCAGAATCAAAAGAGCTGTGATGGGCATGACATGTAACACAACAGCGTCACAGCGTCTAGTGTGACATAATACATATGCCTCAGCAG